TGGAACCATTTCTTTCTCACAGGGTTAATTTACGCTCACTCTGAGCAGAATCACAGCTTCATTTGGAAGCGTGAAAACGGCACAAAATGAGCCAGCCGCACATTTTAAAACTGTACTGAATTTAAATGTCTCCAAACTTCGCTAACAAAGAACCACGGTGATGCAGTATCACTACTTTACACCCTTTGAGAACACGTAAACTGACAGACAGTAGACCTGGAAACACAAGGAAGTACAAAGGTCAAGTAGACCAGTCCCACAGCGGAGCTGTATCTCAGTCCCGCAGCCAAACAGAACAGCTGATGCAGAATACTACAAGTCATCAACAAAGAACAGAACTGGCATGTTTCCAAGCTAACTCTTTGGATTAAGGTATGATATCACCTAGAAAATTGTTTAACTCAGAGCCCTTCAGTCTCAGGAGATGGTGCAGCCGGGCAGATGAGTGGTGGCAATGAACGTGGCTGCCAGCAACGTGTCTGCCAGCGGCTGGAGCCCTGCACGTGCACGGGGCTGGCAGCCTCCGCAGGCGGGACGCCTCCTCCCGCACCAGACTCACCACAAGTATGCACATCAGCTGCATCCATTTAGTGCCTCTGGCACGGTCCCACTGCAAGATGAGGAGGATATGAGCAAGCCATCAGTAAGACACTTGATGCAAGGCACTCATGGTAAACATCTTTCCTAAGAGCCCCTAAGCCAGGCAGGGTGGCATTGGCCATTCCAGCTGTAAAACCTTGCTCTTGGTTACCAGTACCAGCTGGCGGGGGCAGAACACACATTCTGTAGTAGTAAAGAAAGGTGCTCACCACCAAAACAATCCTGCCAAGTGGTAGCCGCTTCCCAAGCAACCTTCGGGAAGGATGCAAACAGCTGGTGAATGAGTTACCTGTTGGACTGCTCTACACCTTCTCTACAAAGACAGTGGCATTCACACTGGGTAGGAAGAACTAGGAAGATGAGGCAAACATTGCAGAATCATAAACTCAGAAGGATGATTTCTGCATGTTAAAGGAAATATACACAGTAAGCAGAAATATGAGAAATCTGTAAGGGATATAGTCCTCGCTTCCCACAGCGCAGCTCAGCTAAACTGACTGAACACTTTGCACTGTTCCCATCCTGGGACAGCATCCATGCAAACACATTTCCAGTCAAGCACCTTCCTGATAGAAGAAAAACAGCGAGCAGCATGAACCTTGAGCCCTTGCCTGCTGGTGGGAGGCCCTTTCCCACTTCCACAATAGAAAGCAGGACATGGCATTGTTTCCACTGATCACAGAGGAACCGGGTGTGTTACACTAAACCAAACCAGAAAGGAAATAATGGGATGTGAGGCATTTGTCTGGAAGGTAAAAAATACGGGGGAAAAAAGACTATTTGGTTTTCCTTCCCCTAAATAGGTTTGGGGTAAAGTGTTTTACAACACTTTCTGCAACTCCTCCATTGTATTTTCATTAGCACTTCTAAACCTCTATAGGAAAAAAACCTGCCTTTAATTAATTGCTGTGTTCCACAACTTTACTCATCCAGCAGAGCTTCAAGAACAATGTCTGAATGATATTTTATGTAAGTGACAATTTTTGCCTGCTGCAGCAGTTCTCAAACTTTGCATCAGCTTTCATACCTCCAGGATAGTTTTAACATTCTTTCCACTCCCACCAGTGCAGCTTGAGAGTCACTGCACTGGTAAAAAGCAAGAGGAAAGGACGTGCCCTGCTGAGCACACCCTGAGAAGAAGGGAGGGGATGTCTTAGGGAGCAAATGATGGTGATGTGAAATTTTAAGTAGAACACTGTTCAATTAAGACAGTAATGGAGGAAAATGTTGGCTGATCAGCGGAAGACTGCAAGAGAAGAGGAAGCCTGTGGCAGGATGGACCTACCGAGTCTGTTCTTGCTAAGGCAGTGCTGGACACATTCAGCATGTTCCCATTCTCTTCTTCTGAATTCATGATTCCCTGACTTTAACCCAGCAGCTTCTCAGCAGTGCCCTCCACCACCATCCCATATCCTGTGCTTTGAAAATTACAGTCAGGGACAAAAAAATGCCAACTATTTAACCCATGTCTGGGCTGTGCTCAAGTCTGAAATCTGTACCCTTTCAAAAGTGGCTTTTTTTTTTTTGTCTCCTTTCCATGAACTGCTCAAAAATCCCTTCCCTTCAAGGCCTGCTGTGGTCCTCAGCTCAGCAGCAAAAACTTCCAAAAACCTGGAGGCACTGCAAGCATCCTTTGTTCAGAGGACAACACACCAGAACCTCTGGCCCAAGTGATTCAGCTACCTGCTCTTCTTTGATCCTGCCCAGCTTTCTTGTTCAAAGACCTGCAAAAAGTATGAGTAATGCTTGGTGAGGATACCTGCTTACAAGTCTTTCATCTTCCCTGTAATTAATATAATTAAAAAATGTATTTCTAGAGTTCAATTTCTGACTCTTATTTTAGGCTTCTATTCTAAGACCAGATACTTTAATACGTGGACAAAACTTGCAAAAGGATTCCTTGCAGAAAGCTGCAACATCCATTCACTGAAAAATACCAGATCTTGTTCAGGCTTTGTGCTCTACAAGATGAAGCTCAGCTTCAAAGACAACATCCTACCTTTGTGAGCTACCCAGTTATTGATAAGCCTGCCTGCAAACCTTCCGGCTGCTGGAAGCCAGGCTGCCTCTGAACGTCTGGCTGGAGCAAATTATTCACTGACCTAGAATTTTACATGTAATACTGAACAACTTTTTCAAAGTTGCTTCCCCAACCACACAAACATAATCAGCTCACGAGGCTGCTGAAAGCAGCAGTTCTGCCATCTGTCCGCCTATTCCCACCTCACACTTGTGCAGGCACAAGCGGTTGTGAAGCCACACAATGATCCAGAGGGAACCAATCTCTGAAAACCAACCAGGGAAAAAATAAAATGATAATTAGATAATTCTTCCAGTCTGACACACAGTACAACTGTGCATGCCGGCAGGAGCATGGGAGTAAGCACAAACAGCATCAGTGATTTTAACGGCTGTGCCATTTGCAGAAGGCCACTGGCACAACAACCTTTTTATAAGGTCAGGCATTGAACCTCAAGAATGCTTAAGCACACACATGAATTTTAAGTAAAATGATTTGGATTTCTGTAATTTGCTATTATGATACTTTTAAAGTAGTAAGTGGGAAAAGAAAGGTGAAGGTCACCCAGAGGAATCAAAGTGCTGCTGAAAAGCATTTCTGTGGTCATCTTCACCTCTGCGTCAGCTTCCCCCAACGAAACAGGGACAGTAACACCAATCTCTTCAGCAAAACATTCTGACACGATTAAAAACACACCACGGCGATACGATAATGCTGTTACAGAGAGACAAGGACAGAATTCAACTTTCTTGTGGCAATGAATGAGCAAAAGGGCACAAAGGTGACATGGGAACCTCTGACAGTCTGGGATGGAGAACAGACAGAGAACACTGCAAGGCAAAATGGCCACTGAGAGCAGCAGCTCCTCAACATCACTATCTACAAGAAGACAAACACGGATGTACAAACTACCTGGGTAAAGAAACTCACAGCGGAGTCTCCCTGCCCTCCTTTCATTACTGGTACTCTGATGTAACCACATAGGAGTTATGAAGAGAGCATAGGAAGGACTTGCTGGGGTGGCAGGTTAAGTAGGAATCCACAGAGCTGGGTTGTCATGACAGCAGCTGAAAGTATGCAAGAGATGTATAGATCCTGGGTGTTAGAACAGCAAGGACTCCAAACAAGATCATTAAAACACGACATTATTTTTAACACCGAGAGGTATACACTACATCTCATTAATGAAACATGGACTGCACGGTAACCACTTGCACTGGTGGGGGTGCACGTGAATGGAAGACACACACACACAGAAATGCTTCCACTACACCAGCAAAGAGCACGTTCTGCCCAGAGCCCAACAGTCATGCGGCACTGGGAGGGGGCAGTGCATGCGCTCCTGTGGATCCCTCACTTGAGCCTTAGCTGAAGCTCAAGTTTCTGAAGCCCAGAAACTCGCCACACAAGCTCCATCCCATTGTAAAGCAGAGTAAAACAGTGGAAATGATTTCGGCAACCCCTTACGTTAACTTGGCATTCACACAGCATGCAGGATCCGTAACGTCCCAGCCAGGAGGCAGTAACTTCCTGCAGGGAGAAGTTACTCCCTGGAGTGCCCAACCCTGCCGGCAGCAGCACGGAACGCTACCGGCACTGCCAGGGCAGGTGGGCACCACACAGACACTGAATGAGCACAGCTCAGCTCCACGCAAAGCGGGCCTTTGTGGAGGCTCTCGAAGCCCTCAGTGGAGGCTCTCGCAAGCAGGCTTGGGAGGCAGAGGCGGCTGTGACTAACAGGTGTTAGCTGTGATCCGTTCGGAACTTTGGAATTTGGACGTGGTAGATTGCTGAGGGCTCTGGTATATCTAACATGAGATTGTCTCCGAGGGTCGCTACAGAGCAAGGACTCCTGGACCAAGCAGCACCTCAGGTGCCCGACACAGGGGACACAGCGGTACACCAGTGCTCACACGCCAGGTTCCCCTCCGGGTACTCACCGTGACACCGCGCCGAAGCAGAGCCCGCACTCACGGGCACACTCGTGCTCGGAGCCCGCTCGGCCCGCAGGGAGAGAGAGGCACGGGGCGCTGCCACTCGGGCGGCCGCGCTCGGAGCCCGGCCCGGCACCCTTCAACGGGGGCTCAGCGCCGGGAGCGGGGCGGCGGCGGGGCACCGGAGTCGCCCCGCGGGGTGAGCGCCGCCGGGCGCCCCTCGGGCCGGCGGGGAGCGGAGCGGCGGGACCCGGCCGGAGCCGCACGGCGCGGGGCGGGGGCGCCAGCGGGCCGGGCCCGGGGCCGCGCGGG